CCCTCTAACGCTGTCGACCCCCTCCTTGAAGACAGAGAGCTGGGAGAGTCTAGGTTCGCCTACAAATGCAGAGATCCAAAGCATCAGGCTGGGGAGGAGGTGAACACAGACGCTTAGCATTTGCTTATAAACGTCTGTGGCCTCTTAACCTAGTCTCTAGTTACCTACACAACGATTCTCCAACCAAAAGAACTATCCTCTCTCTGAATAAGCCATAACTATGGGTGCTGGGGCTGCCTTGGACTGCAGCCAACAATCGGAGCCTAGATGTGCCCAGGAGAGGGAGCCGGGCGGGCTTCGGTGGCCCGTCTCACTTTCACCTGGCAGCATCACCCACGAAGGACGATCTGGAGTATTTGTGCACTCATAGGCTCCAGCTCTGAGCCCCATGCGGGGCTGTAAATGCCTGGGTAGGTGTAGCTCAACCTCCTTTCAGAGCAGAGCCTGCCAGCCCCTCTGTCAGCCCCAGCCTAGCTGGGGCTCCAGGCTCTCCCTGGAGCCACCCGGAAGGGGGGCCAGATGACATCATGGAACACTTGGAGGATTTAGCTCAGGAACAGGCCGTTGCCAATGTTCCAGTTAGCCCTACAGTGCTCCATTCCTGGCTCCACTTTTCTGAGAGACTCAGTACAGCGAGCCTTACGTTTTAGGGAGTTCCAAAGGAAATAAGAGACCTTGGCTAGGAAACAGGTATACTCTAACCGAACTGGGGGAGCGGAGTCGTGACCTGGAGGGGGTTCTTCCTGGCACAGGAGATTGAGGAATTCAAAAATTGCCTTTGTCTCACACCAAAGCCTAGTCGTCCCTCACCCCTATTTTCCAGACTATTTAAAGCACAGAGAGATTGAGGAGCAACCCAGAATCACACAGCAGCCTCACCCAGGAGTGTTCTTTTCAAGGGTAGATAGAGACCTCAGGGTCCTCTCCCCTCTCCTATTTGCCCCAGTTTACACCAAACGGATGGAGAGAAGACGGACTACCAACAGCAGACAGAGGAGGACTGTTTTCTAGGGAGGAAGCAACAGTTTTGGCTCCAGAGAGACAGAGGACACTTAAAACTGTAGGCAAGGAGGAAAAGGGGGCTGTGTGGAATACAGTCTGTCAGGGAGAGTGCTGGTGGTACACTTCTTTGGTTTTGTGGGTGGTTGTTTTTAAAACAGATCTGGCCTAGAGACAGGATTTAATAACACTAATGTCTAAGCCCTTATAAGATGGAACGGCAGTGGAAGATTCAATTATTCAAACAACAGCTGCAAGCTGAATTTTGCTGTAACCCCAGCGTCAGCTTCACTGCCTCATCTCTAGAGTGGAATCTGGCATCCAGGGCCTGCTTGGCACCCTCCATCTGCATCTGTGCAGTGCCATGTTCTGTGACCTTGAGGCTTGGCCCTCACCATCCACTGGGGTAGCAATGGTGTTTCCCTTAGCACCAGGCTCCTCAGAGACAAGGTAGACAAAGGCAGTCTGGTGCCCAAGGAAGTCTGGCCAGGAGTAGCTGTGACTATCATTATTTTTCAGAAGGGAAGAGATATTTCAATTGACAATGAATAAATTGAAGTGCTGTAGAAGTTACTCCAACCAGGAAGGGAAGTAGCCATCTGATCTAGGAAGAGATACAGGAAAGGGGACAATTCCAGGTTTAAAGCAAAGGAAAGCTCATTTTGAATTACAGAAAAATTTTGGCAGTGACACAGAGCCTAATTAGTAGTTGCATAAGAAGGATGGGCCAGTAAAAAGACATTCCAAGATAAACTCCTAACAGATCATGAAACATGTTGAGAAGGAAAGAGGTCCTTGTTTCAAAGTCTCTGTGACAGCAACAAGGAGGCCAGGATGAGCCCAGGCGTTAAGGGGACTGACTGATCACAGATGCAAAGGCAGCATGTAGCTACACCTAGGAGTAAGTACACAAAGCACACCTCAGACCTCTAAGCCTAGCTCTGAAAAGGCTGCAGCTGAGAAGAATGTTAGATGACGTTAAAAGTAAAACAACAAAAAAGTACAAAACGAAACCTGGAAGGTATAGTTCAGTGGGGCTCTGCCATTCGAGAAATGGTCTCCTTTTCTGTATTACTAGTGGCTCTCTGTGGTTAGTCTTATGTACTTGACACAAATTTGAGGCACTTGGTTTTGGTCAGTGTTCATCACAGCAATAAAAACAAACTAGGACAGGTCTCAAATTAAAAATGGGGAAACAGATGCTAAAGTTGCCACCATGTCCTAAGGAGGGACAATGGACAACTTACGGGCTTGAAAACTGCATACCTGTTTAAGTCCAAGTTGTTGGAAGATTTTAGGTATCATTTAGAAGTCACTTTGATTAATCTAGGATACAGGAGGTTCTATCCAACGAGAAGCAAAGAGACCAGTATCACCCAGTGTCCTAAAGATAAAAGGGTGTACCATGAAAACTTCCTACTGAGGTCCTTCTTCTGTCTAATCCCTGGAAGCCAGAGTTGACAATTGACACCCATGCATGGTGATATACCTGACTAAAGATAGAATCTTTTGTTACTTTTATTACATGTGGTGAAGATTGTCAGGGACAGTCTGACCTGACACTCAGCAGATGCTCTTCTGTTTTGGCGGGAAGAACACAGGATTGAGACCTGTAGACCTGCATTTCCATCTTGCTCCACCACTCATAGATCAGATAGATGCCCATAAGGAAGTTGCTTCGCTTCACAGGATCTCCTTTATGTAAGGGGGTCAAGTTCTCTTTGGTCCATCTCATCTCAGAGCTCTGTGATTCCATCTCAAAATTCACATGCACTGGTAGGAGCAGGGTCCTGAAGACACTGCATCAATAAAACACCTCACAGTAAGGTTACTACTCCCCCATGTGTCACCACATGTGTTAAAGTGACCAAGGAGACTTGATCCCTGATTTTGCCACTATATGACTTAACCCCCAAATGATAGCCAAACTGTGACTAAGGTCACAGGATATCTATCTGAATAGATTGGAAGAGGCTTGAACCAAGAACCAGACAAGATAGATAAATAGATAGATAGATAGATAGATAGATAGATAGATAGATAGACAGAGATAGATAGATAGATGTAAAGTCTACATCTAAACTATATTTTTAAATCCTACATAAGGTCAAGAGAGAGAAAAACACATAGTGAGATGAAGGTCAGGGTGACTGAGGTGACTTTTTTGCCCGTAGAACTGGCATCGCCATCACTTAGCTTCAAACAAAAGAGCTAATGAGGCTCTTACCACATCCACGATAAGGACAGTGGCAGGTAACACATGACATTTTAATGGGTGCTTTGTACATGTTTTGTTTTATGAGCATGATGATGTGATAGAGTTCCAGCCCCAAGAAATACTGGCATGATTGTCACCTGTCCCACAAAACAGGTCAACACTAGCTGTTGTTTTCGATATCAGGGACTGTACCAATTCATCAGGGAATAAGTTATGGTGTGTATAAGATAGAACAGTCAAAATAGGAAAAGTCTGAAAAGGAGGTCAGAGCAGTGGCCACACTCAGCCCAGAGGAGCAGAAGAGAAAGTTCTTAAGTCTGAGCCCCTTACTGCTTACCTTGAAATCTGTGTGCTTCCATTTGTCTGTTGTGTGATGCTCAACAATGTACCCACTGAAGACAACTTTCAAAGGCTCCAGTCTCCCCAGTGGAGAAATGAGTTCCCAGTTATCAGAAAAGCTCACTGTATTCTTGTTCTGTGGTTGGAAAACAAGTCAGAGGCGACAACACTGATTAGAACTTCAAAGAAATCAGGCGGCGGGTGAGTGCTGGGTGAGTCACTGTGAACATACAGAGCCCCAACTCTCTCTCTCTCATCCTCCAATGGTGAAGACTCTGAAAGTTTGATTTCTGCATATTTTAGGTCATTTTCTGTTGTTCCTGAATACCACATGCTGGGTGAACAGTAAATAACAAAAGCTTGGTCCTCACAATTTAGGATCAGGGTCAAGGGGCTGCATGTGGTGGTGCCTTCTCCTCCTGGGAGTCCTGCAGTCTGCAGGCAGCAGAAGCACACATGGTTTCCTTCCCTTCTGACAAGGCTAATGAGATCACGGGGCTCCAGTTCTGGAGATCTCATCTAATCCTAATTAGGCCCCACGTCTTCATATTGTGACAATGGAATTAAGTCCCACCAAGAATTTGATGGAGGCATCCAGACCATAGCAGTAGATAACCCAGGTGACAGTAGATTGTTACTGTATGCTTTTGATTGTCTTCCTTTCTTAAAAGAAGCAAAATTTAAAAAACAAAAAGCATGGACTTTATAGTCAAATTCCACAAATGTGGAGTTTACCTGTGCATTCTTGGATAATAAAGCACATCTCTTTGGGTCCTATTTGTTCTTCTGTAAATGAAATAAATCACCAATAATCCTAAGGGACAAGGATCAAAGCTACTGCATTTTTTGCTGCGTTGGAAAGCCTCATGCCAAAATGGGATAGCTTTACAGCTAGGTGAAGCCTTCCAGTCTCTCAAACCTCGTGGGGGAGGGAGTGGTAGAAAGCAGATAAAGAAACTCAGCTACATCAGCAAGCACGAGTGCCAGAGCGACACTTAGTACAGCCATGAGACAGGCTGATTGGAAGGCCTCCCAACCTGAAAGTCTTGCACTTCTACCAGGCAGAAAGAGGGGATAAAATAAAGGAATAAAATAAAAATTGTCATGTGTTGGGAATCTACCTAATATTGGTTTCTGGACCCAGCAACACCACAGATCTTTACAGTGATTAGCAAGGGTCCAAACTGGGGGTATAAGGATGGACTGAAGGACAGTTTGGCAACCACCTTTTCTAAATTACATTCGTAAGTATCTCTAGCCCTTTAGAAGTCAGTATTGGATGGCTCCATCTCACCATGGTGGCCAAAGTCTTGAGTCTGAGAAGCTGCCTGATATTTAGTTTCTGGCTGACAGTGGTAAGGTGGCTTAGGGCCTGTCACACCCTTTTAGAAGCCTGGTGACCAAGCATGTCCCCACCATGATCTGCTTTCTCTCTGCTTCTCAGTGTGATGGAGTTGAGGTGGACCTGAGCAATATCTTCCTGGAAGGCATTGCCATTCTTAACATTCCCAGCATGTACGGAGGCACCAATCTCTGGGGAGAAACCAAGAAGAACCGGGCTGTGATCCGGGAAAGCAGGAAGAGCGTCACAGACCCAAAGGAGCTGAAATGCTGTGTCCAAGGTAAGCAAGCATGAAGATAATTGCTCCAGCCATTGCCCGGGTGACAGAGTGAGCTGGCAAGCCGCAACAGAACCTACATCAGGCTTGATAAGGCCCCATAGCTGCCAAGGACCCGGTGCTCTGGGAAAAGGCTGACTCATCCGCCCTGGTGTTACAAAGTTTGCAATCTAATTGAGAAGGCAAGATTCCCAATGAAGGAACCCTAAACAATAGTCTGTAGTCTAACCAGAACTCCATGAGGTCAGGTGTCATGCTGCTCCTGCCTTGGGTACCAATGTGTTTCAGTGTCTGCATCCAATAGTTCTCAACCTGTTCTCACTTCCCAGAGCAACAGCAGACCCCACCCATTACTCCTGCCCCTGGAAGCCTTTCATCCACATGGCTTCTAGAATTCTCTTCCTCCCAACTTTTCTTGGTCACTCTCCTGCCTCTCTTTTTTTCTGGCCTCTTAATGCTATAGGGTTCCCACACAGGTCTTTGGCCTTCTCTATTCTCTCTGTACCTCACTGATGGCGTCGTGCAGCAGTAAGCCTGTGTATGAGCCTGTGATGCTACCAACCCTGCCTTGCTTGTCCCATCTCAGACCCTGGGCTCAAGTATCCAGCAATCTGTGCCATATTTCCTTGGTGTAAGTGACAGACCTTGCCATCTCAGCATGTCCATGGCTAAACTCTTGCTGTCCCTTCCCCCAAGCTTCTCCAGCCTTCCCAGGACTCAAACCCAAACATTGATGTCATCCTCAATTCCCTAGCATGTCTTCTTACATTCAGTCCATAAGAAAATCCATTAATGACTTTTTAATTTATTATTATTATTACTGATTTTATGTAAATGGTTGTTTTGCCTGCATATGTATCTACACAACATTTGTATCCAAGTGCCCATGGAGGCCAGAAGAGGGCATCACATCCTGTGGAACTGGAGTTACAGTTATGAGCTGCCATGTGGGTGCTAGGAATTGAATCTGGGTGCTCTCACAGGAGTGGCAAGTGTTCCTAACCACTGAGCTATCTCTCCAACCCCAGTTCACTGCCTTTTAAAAACACCCGGAATCTAACTGCTTCTTCCCACCTGCTATCTGACCACCTGGATCTAAGCCATTATCTTCTTTCTTCTGAATTACTAGAAATCTTTCTCTCTGGATTCTTTCTTCTAGTTGTGCTATATATAATGTGTACTCACCAAGTGTGGTAGTGTGTGTCTGTCATACTAGGACTCAAGAGGCAAGACATGAAGACAGCCTAGGCTATATACCTAGAATAACCCTCCAAAGCAATCTGTTCTTACAACCACAGAAAGACCTCTGAGAAAAATGTCAGTTTATGACATGGACCAAATCCAGTACCAATTCCAAGTAAAACACCACATGTTCAGTGTGGTCTGGAACTTCATGGAGTCTAGCCTTCAGCTAGCTCCTCATGGGGTCTAGCCTTCAGCTAGCTCCTCATGGGGTCTAGCCTTCAGTAGCTCCCAGATCACATCTTCTGCATGGATTCTCCCTGTCATGCACACTATTTCTGCCAATCATGCAGGCTGCTTGTATAAGTCACCTAGTCCTTTCCAGAGCAGCTGGCAGCATGTCTCAGAGGCTCTCAGCTTGAAACACACGGGGATATAGGAGAGCTTTCTGAGATGCCCTTAAATGACTTTCATCCCAACCCCTTATCAGCCAAGGACTCAGTCAAAGCTCCTGGCCACTGATTCTGATTAGTCACTTTTCTTGGTATCTCAGTCGCCAGGAGAATGGAGGGGTGAGAAACTGGACTGAGGACATTGCCAGGGGTACTGTGCCAGCAGGAGAGGACTGGATTCTAGTACACATATTGCTAACAACCCATTTTTGACACCTCGGTTTTCATGGCTGTAAAACTAGCTTTTTAGGTAAAATCTTGTTAGCTGGGTAGATGGGGCCGAACAAGAAGATTGATTCCTAAACTAGACCTGTTTTGTGAAAGAGAAGATCCTGGACTCCAAGCTACCTACCATTGAAGGGAAAGAACCACCTACCATTGAAGGGAGGAGGCTACCTACCATTGAAGGGAAGGAACCGCCTACCATTGAAGGGAGTGGTTACTTGCTTATTTCACATGGATCTGTATTCTAGAAAAAGATAATCAAGAATCATCTTCATACCTCTGTCCTTTTAAAGCAGACTCAGGAATATTTCTCTTTTGCCCTCCTAAGGCCCCTTCATTTCACACAGTAAACTTTGCAATTTGTATGAATTATTAAACTAAATAATATATGCCTCTTTCCTCCCTTAGCAGGGGAAGTCCTGGATGCTAGTGGAGTGAGGGGAATACTGGAGGCTGTAGAGAGTCCCTGAAACCCCTCCCCACTAGGCTCCCACTCAACCCCATTCTCACCTTCCTGGCATCGAGCTCTATCAGAACAGAGAAGGAACTGGCAAAAAAGAGCCCTCCCCATATTCACCCTGGGGGTTGTGGAAACTCTTCCTAGGATCATATTCTGCCTCAGGGCTCAATGTCAGCTTGCATCTTCTCCTTAAATGTCTGATCTTGTATTTTATGTTCTTTAAGCAAGAATAAACTGTTGATCACTCTTAGGTCTTTTCTACAACCCCCTTTTCCTATCCCCAAAATGCACTGTCAGAGATGAAAGATGAAGTGCTTCCTGTTCTTCAACAGGAGTGTGATCCGATCAAAGAAGAGGCCAGGGAGGGACCCCGGCTTCTGGGCTTCACATAGACTGAGCCTTCCTCTTGAGAGAGCCACCACCATCCCATAAAAGTTGAGTCAGCAGCAGGAAAGCTAACGAGACACGTTTAGTGCCTGGGCTCCAGCCCAGACTCTGCCTCTCACTAGTATGCAGCCTGGGGTATGTCCTTTCAGCTTCTTGGCACTCCATTTTTCTTACCTATAAAACAAACAACCTGGAAATCGTATCTTGAGACTTCTAACAGCTTCAAAAAATTGACAGTCCTATTTTGATCTATATGACCTCCTTGAGCAGAGTTATCTGTACATTTTTTCTTCTGTGTGTTTGGTCCCAGGATTTCCGGATCAGTAGCTAAGGGCAGGGAGCTCTCTCTGCAGGCTCTTCATTTGTTGAGATTCTTGACTCCGTGGCCTTTCTGTGGGACTGAGGGGAGGGAGAAGTCAGGGCAGGAAGAAGGATCTCATCAGAGGAAGTGCAGTAGAAGGCTTACTGTCAAATCTCTCACCAGACATCAACCTTCCTCCTCAGAAGATTGGCCAAGTAAGAGGGTCTCACAGGATGACCACTGAGTGGGTTCTATCAGAACGCTGACTACACAGGGAGCAACAGGAATGGATGTGGGGGATCTCGCAGGTGGACAACCCAGGCTTAAATTTGGGCTTTATATTTCTCAGTGTTATAACAATTTGAAAATGATTCCACCTCCTCAGCTTCCTCATCTATAAATCTGGCATAATAACACCTAGTGCCCTTACTGTGTTGAGAAGATGGTGGGTGGAAAAGACCTGGACTCAGTATGAGCTCAGACTTAAAAATAACCACCCTCTGTCTTCTTCTACACCTAGCATGCAAGTAGAGGTCTGGTTTGAAGGTTTCTGTCTTCAGCATGTACCCACAATGAGAAAGAGCAAAGCAAACTACTATAGACTTCAGCTCAGCCTTGACCCAGCACAGAAAACTCAGGCAAGCAACTGTACCTACTGCCTCCCTCCCTAGGCTTCTCGGATTCCAGGGACAGAGATTGGGGGTTATGAGTTTCTGAAGCCCTACTATCTGTCCTCAATTATCAAATTCTAAAAACTAAGGGACTGGACAGGTGGCTCAGCAATTAAGAGCACATAATGATGTTCTTTCAAAAGACCCAAGTTCAGTTCCCAGGAATCATAACAGCTCGTAACCACCTGTAACTCCAGTTCCAGGAGACTTGACACCTGTAACCTCTTCAGGCTCCAGTACTTACCCACACACAGATAGAGATACACACTTTGAAATAATAATACAATTTATTTTTTACAAAATGGAAAGCATTCGATAAACAAGAAGCACCTAGCATTAGTTATCTTTAGTACTGGTAACAAGGTCAGAAATCTTTTTTTTTTTACATTATAATGTAGCTTGCAAGTGATTTTATGTGAACTAATAAAATCCTAAACAAAAACTCATGAAAAAGAGTATGTGCCTAGCCAAATATGCCTACTTCATAGTTAGGGGAAAACACTGGATCAGTTTATGTTCAGAAGTAGCAACGGAACCAAGACATGTGTCCATGATTCCAAATCAGCCCCGTGAGGACAGTGTCAGTCTAGAAAATGTGCTGGAGAGACTTCTGGACATGTTGTTGGAGCCAGGCTGTCACAACATGGCCGACATGTAGATAGAGTCCAAGGAGAAGACCCAATCTACCTGGTAACACTCTTCTCCTCTCTACTAGTGACTCTACTCATGTCTCCAGAGCCCCCAACAGAGAGAGAGAGACAGAGGGAGAGACAGAGGGAGAGACAGAGGGAGAGACAGAGGGAGAGACAGAGGGAGAGGGAGAGACAGAGGAAGAGGGAGAGGGAGAGGGAGAGGGAGGAGAGGGAGGAGAGGGAGAGGGAGGAGAGGGAGAGGGAGGAGAGGG